GCTAGATTTTAAAAATGCGTAAGAAAAATACCATAGTATACGAATAGTTTTTATTTTCCCAAATACTTTCAAAATTCAAATTTTGGTATTTTCTTACTCAGTTTTCTAAATCTATCAAAAAATTAATCCATGAACCCGGCATATGTCTGGATTATTTAATCAAACTTGTTTGAATTAAAATATGATACCTAAAAATATATATATATATATATATATATATATATATATATATATATATATATATATATATATGTAATAAAAAAAGAAAGAACAGTAAGATATATAATCCGGTGTTCTTATAGGTATTTTATTTTTACAAAATAAACATGGTTAGAACTGTGTAGTGGAAAAAACATATTTTAAATCAATTAATTTATATTATATATATATATATATGTTCTATGGTGTCATATCCTTAGTCACACACATGTTCTATGGTGTCATATGTTCTATTATGGTGTCATATCCTTTGTTACACACACGAAAACACACACAGAGACGTGTGTGTGTATGTGCGACCAAGGGTATGATACCATAGAAAATGAAATGAGCAATGATTTAAAAAAGCACAACGACATTTTTCATTTCTCGTGAAGGATTCCTTTTCTGCCAACATTCTTTCAAACGTAGACGAAACAAATAATAGTCATTCGCAAAAATGAATTATATTCAATGAGTAGGGAAATTTGGGAACAAGATTTAAAACAATTTCATAGTAAATAATTAACGATTAAAATAAATAATGAACGGTCCCAAAAGAGAGTAAAAGGGGGAAAATTATCGCTCACTCATTTCCCCACTTTTACACACTTTTGGGACTGTCGATTATTTATAAACATAATTCATTTTTGCGAACGACAATCATTTGTTTCGTCAGATTTATACCAACATCTACCTTTTGCAAAAGTGTTGACCATATTTCAAGAGAAATAAATTATATATATATATATATATATATATATATATATATATATATATATATATATATATATTAGTGTAAATATATACATATATGTATATATGTTTATGTGCACGTATGTGTATGTCCGTATGTATATATGTGTGTAAATGTGTATATATATATGTAGGAGTGGATGTGTATGGATGTATGTGTATATGTATGTATGTGTTTTGTGTGTTTATGTATGTATATGTATACATATATGTATGTGTATGTATGTGTGTATATATATATGTATATGAATATATATATGTATATGTGTACATGGGTATATGTGTGTGTATGTATGTACACGCCTATATGTATGTATGTAGGTGTAAATATATATATGTTATTGTGTATGTGTGTATACGCATGTGTTTTTGAACATAGAAATATAGGTCCTTGCTAGATTAGATAATCGTTATATCTATTTTTTATATGTTTATATTTGATTTGTAACCTGTAGTCGATATTAATTTTGTCAAATTTTCTTAATTACACAGTGGCCTTTTCAGTAAATGCCCTTCAGTTTTAGTTTCCCCCGCCCCATCTCTCTCCCCCACCCCTTTTTCTTTTCTTTTCTTTTCCTCTCCCTCCCTCTTCTTCTGATCTTTATGATTAGATCATCTATTGTGTGTGTATGTCACCACAAAATGTATCCTTTCCGGTTACATCCTTAATGTATTAGACATCCGACAACATTCATATTTCTCTCACTTAAACCGTCTTTGACTCCCCTCTTTAAAACTTCTCTCTGTTAAATTTTAATCTCCCACCTTCTCTCGTCTGTTACCCCTCTCTATAGCTCTAACATTCGTCCCACACTCTCATACTTACACTCTCTCTAAATTTAATTTTTTATTCCCGCAGTCGTTTTTTTCTGTTTTCTTTTTGAATATGTAGGTCTGATGAATTGGATCGTATTTACGATTCCAATGGAATAAATGATGACCATGGAATATTAGTGTTTAAGCCTTTTTATTATATATATATATATATATATATATATATATATATAGTAGAGTGTGCTGAAAGGTTAATTTTATACGCATCTATTAATTAATTAATTTGTATGACGCATCTATTGAAGGTAACATCAGAACATTGTCCGCTAATATTCTGCAATATCTATCTAGCTCTCTAAATGCATTTCTTTTTCTTTCTTTCTTTCTTTCTTTTTTTCTTTCTTTCTTTCTTTCCTTCTTTCTTTCTTTCTTTCTTTCCTTCTTTCTTTCTTTCTTTCTTTCTTTCATTGATGACCAACTGCTTCAAAATATATTAATTCACTCTACCATGTGCGTGGGTGTGCGTGGGTGTGCGTGAGTATTTTTCTGTATGTGTGTGTGTGTGTGTGTGTGTGTGTGTATTTTCTCTGGTCAGTGTTTTCCAGTATACAAATTTCCATAGTGCTGAATGTACTTTTCCATTCTTATATAATATATATATGGATACATTTGTAATGCGGTCGCCCCTGCCACTGGCTACATGTATTTCAATTTAGATAAAAGTCACTGTCCAATGTCGAGCTATTTTCCGATTACGGATGTCATCCTTTGCTTTCCAATCTGCAGTCCTGGTGACCACCGCATACATCCGGGCAACGAGTGTGAACAGTAATGAAAAAATAAAACAGAAGAGAGGAGAAACAGGAAAAGTAGGTCAACTCCAGCGAAGGGGACATAACCAGAAACAACTTCCGTTTAACACTGGCTTACGCCGGGATGTCGGTTTGTGAGGCTCTCTTTTTCGTTTCCACGTTGCAAATCATCTTTACACGATCTAAGATCCAGGCAACGCGTCAAGCAATCGAACTTCTGCAGGGGCTGGGCGATACAGGGGTGGAAATTTGCTCTCCCCACACCTCGCTGTGTGGCTTTAGAGTGGCTCTTGGCGGTGGGGTTCTCCTCGTGACACATTCGTTTCGTTCGTGATCGATAGAGAAAGGTGATAATACCACTAAGAGGCAAACTCATGCTAAAATAAATGAATTCATGAAAGCACACACAAGAACAGACAGATAGATAGATAGATAGATAGATAGATAGATAGATAGATAGATAGATAGATAGATACGTGGGTAAGTCAAATATTATCTGCATTTTTGCCATAAGATATCTTTATATAAATGTGCGGATAATATTTGACTCGTAAGTAGCTATATATACATGAACATACTGAGATAGATAGATAGATAGATATGAACATAACATAATCGATAAAGATATGAACAGAATCAAATAGATAGATAATGAATAGAATCAAATAGATAGAGATAGATAGAATCAAATAGATAGATAGATAGATAGATAGATAGATAGATAGATAGATAGATACGTGGGTAAGTCAAATCTTATCTGAACTTTTGCCATAACATATCTTTATATAAATGTGCGGATAATATTTGACTCATAAGTAGCTATATATACATGAACATACTGAGATAGATAGATAGATAGATATGAACATAATGACAAAGATATATCGATAGATAGATAATGAACAGAATCAAATAGATAGATAGATAAGAACAGACTGAGATAGATAGATAGATAGATAGATAGATAGATAGATAGATAGATAGATAGATAGATAGATAGATAGATAATGAACACAGTGTAATAGATCTCTCTCGCTCTCTATCTATCTATCTATTAGATAGATAGATAGATAGATAGAGAGAGAGAGAGAGAGAGAGAGAGAGAGAGAGAGAGAGAGAAATTTGGGATCAAATACAGATCTAATATGGATTGGAATCCGACAGAATGATAAGATAAATAAGAAACGTTTATAAATCTAATGTGTTTCACTTTTATTAAAGTTTCCTCAGAAAATGGGATATGGAAGGAAAGAAAAGTTCTGGTATTTTTACTTTCGTTTTGCTTGATCTTCATTGGTTAATCATGTTTCACGTGCATTTGACTTGTTAAACAAACGTTAGTATAATTTATGGCGCTCCGAATTCATGTCACGTCCTTTCGACTTAACGGATTCAAGGCCTAACTAAAAAAAACGTAAATATTGTCTTGCATATGCAAGTGTATAATAATTCACTTTTTCTGTGTGAGATTTAGATGATAATGTATATTCATAAGTGTTTGCGCGTGTATATATATATATATATATATATATATATATATATATATACACACACACACACACATGAACATACTGAGATAGATAGATAGATAGATAGATAGTGTATTGTGAAAATGTGTGCATCTAGATAGGTGCAACAAAAAAGCATAAAGATGAAAGGAAAAAGAAAACAATATAAAATCCCCTCTTTTACATTGATCGTCCAGCATTGGCGGACGCAATGGTTGTACGAAAAGTATGTTGCGTCATTTGAAGATAGGCCTCTTTCCTTGAAAACCAGCATTCGAATATTTGGCTCGGATTTAAAATTCAAGTACCCGATAGGAAAGACAGCAAATCAGTCACGTGGTATTTTATGATCTCATGAGATTTTATTTTTATTTGGCCTCAATCCAAATTAGACTGTCCACAACACAACGTTAAAATTAACTGGGAACTCTATAACGTCTACAATGGTTGAATAGCATGCGTTTCGCCAAGGCAACATAACTGCTTTTTGAATTTAGAGTTCTCTTTTACCTGGTTGACAATCGCGGCTAGAGATCTCAATTTTCAATTCTATTTCAAATATAGCTTACAATATTAATCTGATTTGCCCACTTGTTAAATCGCTCTCTTGAATTTGATAGTTCCTGCCAATCTGGATACATAAAAATCTCATGCCCTTAGCCTTGTAAATTCCTCTTCTACCTATCTGTTTTAAATATCTAAGAGAACGCTCGAAGCTCTTGCAAATTGTACATAACGGTTCTTTTTAATCCTTAAGCGACATGTTTTATGTACACTTTACATACAATATAGATAATAATGGCAGTTGCTTAAAACGCTGGCTTACCGCCAGATCGCTTTGAAGCACCGTACGATCACCGAAGTTAAACAATGTCGAGCCTGGTCAGTACCTAAATGGGTAACCGCTTGGATATACCAACTGTTGTAGATTAGATGTCCGGGGGATAAAGTTTACGGTCAGATCACTCTGAAACAGCAGATGCCATACGATCACCGATGTTAAGCAAAGTCGATCCTGGTTAGTATCTAGATGGGTGACTGGTTGGGAATACAAAGTGCTGTAAACTTGGACGTGTGGGTGTTAATGTTTATTGCCATATCACGTTGAAACAACGGTTCCCGTACGATCACCGATGTTAAGCAACATTGAGCCTGGTCAGTACCTAGATGGTCGATCGCTTAGGAATACCAGGTGTTGTAAGCTTGGAAGTGCGAGTGGTGTAATGGATAGACTCGGAATTGGAAGTCGGAGAGCCGAGTTTCAATAGCATTCAGGTTCGTTATATTTAATTATGTACAAATACCGCTGGGAAAGAGATGAATCCACCTCTTTTTCTATGGGTTAATTAGTAGGTTTTAGTAGTAGGTTAGTAGGTTTTAGTAGTAGGTTTTATTAGTAGGTTTTAGTAGCAGGTTTTATTAGTAGGTCTTATAACAGTAAATCATGATTATCTCCAAACAAATTCTCAAAATCTACAAATCTTTTCTAGCTTTAAACAATGCGCAAAGGTTGATAAACCGTAAAAAAATCTCAATCAATTAATCCTTAATATATTTTGAAAATAACAGAAAATATTTGACAATTTAGAATATCAATTAATTACATGACAATTACCACTCGATCTGTTGATGTAATGGATAACGCCTCGGAATTGTTAATTAAAGGGCCGGGTTTCAATTCTTGATGTGTTCGTTATATTCACTTGCACTCAAATTCCCTTGGGAGAGGTATGAATACACCCACTTCTCCCCCAGCTATGGGTTAATTAGTAAGACCTATCTAAAAAAATGTTTAAAAATTTCTTAAAAGTTTATTAAATTCTAAATATATTTACTGGCTTCTATAAGCCCTATAAAACGAACGAAACAACCAACCTAACATTCTGCTTCCTAAAACTTATCTTTTATTTATCCTATCTTCATCTTCATCTTCATCTTCTTTTCCTTTTTTTTTCTTCTTCCAATTCCTTTATCTTTTTCTTTCTTTGTTTCTTTACTTGCTTTTCCTCTTCTCGGAATATGTTTCGTACATAATCAATGGTGGGTAAGTGATAAACGATGTGTCAGAATGAGGCGCGAATTCATATAATACATGTAATCTATCCGTAAATTTGCACGAACACGACATGCCGCGTAATTGTAGGTTTACGGCAAAGCAATATGTTATTCAGGCGTTCGTTAAAAAAATATTATGCTGTACAATAAATCTACAAATGTTGTTAAGTAGGTTAAAGGCAAGAATCAGTCACTTCATAGAGGTGTTCACGCACCATAAGTAAAAAAGAAAGAATAAAATAAAAATTATATGAAAAATAAATGAATAAATAAAAATGTTTAATGCTGGCTATCGAGTTTTTTATTCCTAATTAGACAATTTTTTAACCAATTCACCCAAAGCAAGGCGATAATTCCACTAACATGAAAGGGTTACTGGTAATGAAAGAGAATGAAAGAACTTTAGCAGGAACTGGAAACTAAACCCTAAACAGTAAATAAGGTATAGTCTACTCCTCTTCAAAACATCTGTCGACATATATATATATATATATATATATATATATATATATATTTCCTGTATATTCTGACCATATCTGTGTGTAAGTTTTTGTTTTCCATGTCGACAAATATGAAAATTTCTCCGATTTAACCAGTAGAGAAGACAATATTTCCTGTATATTCTGAACATATCTGTGTGTGTTACACACAGATATGTTCAGAATATATGTGCGTAACTTTACACACAGATATGGTCAGAATATACAGGAAATATTGTCTTCTACTGGTTAAATCGAGAAATTTTCACATATATATATATATATATATATATATATATATATATATATATATATATATTGGATTTTTCTAATTTTCAAATAAGCTGTGCATAAAATGTCCAAACTTTATGCTTTTTGTTTGTTGCTTTTTGAACATTTTTAACCGTCTCATTGACGACACACATGATTTTGTTAGCGACGTTCTGGATTATATATTTGAAACTAGATGTGAATTTGAAAAATGCCACAATGTAGCAAACAAATCTTGTCAACAGTACTTACAAATCCATGTTTGCAACAGTCGGAAGTACTTGAACAAAAAAAAAACCACAAAATGAACCTCGAACAGTTTACCCACAATTTTAATTTTTATGTACAACTTATTCAAAAATTAGAAAACTATAATATAAAAATTAAACGAACATAATTTAATGCAACTTGTTTATTCCTGTTCTTAAGAACTCTGGCGAACCGTCTCGTCCCTCGAACTATCGGCCTATTAGTCTTCTGCCTGTTTTTGGTAAAATACTAGCGGCTCTAAATTGGTTAAGCATCTCACCACGCGTGGCCTTCTTTCAGACAAAAACAAATATGGCTTTCGAATTTTCTTAGTTAACTGCCGATGTGTTAACGATTATTGCTGACAACTTCTGTTAAAATGAGAATGGTGAAGCTGGAGCCTTAGATATCTCGATGACGGACATGCTGGTCTTCTGTAAAAGCTTGAGGGCTATGGCGTTTCTGGTCATTTCTTTGATTTGATTCAAATCGTGAAATGAAGGTTGTCATGAAAGGCCGCTCTTTTAGATCTTTTTTTTTTTATTAATGAGAGTGCCCTCCAGGGCTCTATGCATGGAAGTACCCTTTTCCTAATATTCATTAACGAGCTTTTCGATGCCATCAGTTTCTCAACTCGGTATCTATGGTGATGACATAGGCATATACTCCTGCCTTAATGGTAAATCTTATAAAGTCAATCTCGAAAATAACCTTCAGTCTGTTGTTAAATAAAGAAAGAGATGGCTTCTTAATTACTACGCCCCCCCCCAAAAAAAAACAATATTTTTCTCCTTTAATCGTCGACAAAAATCTTATCGGTTTTCCATCAGCATCGCTCATGCTAACCCCTAGGAGAGTAACTTATTGAGCCTTCTCGGTTTAATATTTCCCACTGACGTGATGTGGAACGATTATTTTGACTAGGCCTGCAGCTAGGATGTTCGTTTAGTCTGTGCTGCTTGATATATATTTCGCTAGAATCTATCTTGCAAGTTTATAAGTCTACCATTCCTCCATGCATCGACTATTGCTGCCACATCTGTTTTAGTGCTTCTGCTATGTATCTAGCGATTCTTGACATTATCCAAAGAAGAACCTGCAAGTTATCGCTCCTGGCCTGGCATCTCGGGTTCAGTCCCTTTCCACAACATTAACGTAGCTTTCCTGCGCATAATTCCATGGTAATTTTTCTAATACGTATTCCTCTCTGTTACCTCGACTTCAGGAAATACTGGATTGGCAGCTAGGTCTCATCATTTTACGTTAAAATTGCTATATATAACAGTAAGCTATGCTAATATTTTCTTCTATCGCACTTCCTGCTTGTGGAACTCACTCCCGGCTTCTTGCTTTCTTGGGAACTACGATGGTCAAAAATTTAAATGCACCATCGGTCGTCAACTTTTGTCTTTTTGAATCCTGTTTTTCTTGCCCTCTCTTTCCTCAAGGTTTTTTTTTATCAATTCACCCCAATCAAGGAGATAATGCCACTAAGAAGCAAGGGGGCTACTGGTAGGGAAATAGAATGAAAAAGACATTAGAAGGAATCAGATAACTAATCCACAACAGGGAAAAATGGTTGAACCTCTGCTCCTGTTCAAAAGAGTGGAGGGGGGGATGAACCGGGCGATAGGCGGGCCTATCTATTCCTATTGATGAAAAAGAAATTAGTAAGTAAAATTTTAGGCGGAAACTTAAGAAGTATAGAATTGATATAAACTTTGGAAGGTATCAGAAACCCAATCCTAAATAAGAAACAAGAGATGAACAATGATTTATATATATATATATATATATATATATATATATATATATGGGGGGAATATATATATATATACCATCGGTCACGATGTGTGACAACGGGGTCAATGATTCCTTCTCAGTTTTACTCACAAGGCTTGGGTCAAAACACTTTCCGGGAGGCCATGACGAGACGCTCAGACCATCAGTATATATATATATATATATATATATATATATTTATATATATAAGTTATAGATTAGGATAAATCAAACGACCAGATATGAACAACAATTCCTGTGTTCTACCCAAATATTTCACAAATGTATTCATGAGGTGTAAACATATATATATATATATATATATAATATATATATATATATCAAATATGTGTTATGGTTTAGGCACTTATATATTTATATATGTATGTATGTATCGTATCAGACCGATAACATGTGTATGTATATAGTTTGCCTGACGATTGCTAAAGCGTGAAACCCATGGTACAAACTCACATCTATCTAACTAAATATATATATATATATATATATATATATATATATATATATATATATATATATATATATATATACCTACGTTTACGTTTCGCTGCTGTTCCAGCTAATCGGCACAAAATATATCTTAGATTTTTTATGAAAATACACGGATGTGTATTTCTATAAAAACATAAGATAAGATATACATCGTCGCACACCTAAACGCAAATATATATATATATATATATATATATATATATATATATATATATATATATATATATATATATATGTGTGTGTGTGTGTGTGTGTGTGTGTGTGTGTGTGTGTGAATAAATACAAAAAAAACTTATCGTAGCCGACCAGTTTCGTCCTCTGATGGACATTATTAAGGTGAATGTGCGGATTTTGTTTATGCAAGTAGTATTTATAAACAAAAGTAAAAAATGTTAGTTTTTCAAACTTCTTTTTAATTTAAGAGTCGCTTATAAATAAGTCAAGGTAAATTATGGAGGATGCGAATTGACATAATTTGATGTTTAATAAACGAAAGTAAGTAAATGATGTTGGACATAAATTTACCTTTTATTTCTAGCGCTTTAAGAACTTTCTATAGATTTTTGTCTGAGTAAATTGCATTATTTTTTAATTAAATCAAACGCGTTGAGCACCTAATTGTATTAATGTACGCTGCTTTGCAAAATATCAACTTTTTCCACTTTGTCATAGATTTTCCTAAAATTATTATGAAATATATGTTGTTTTCCCATATATATATATATATATGCCCTTTATGCCTACATGAAAAATTACGCATTATTAAGTTTCTAAATAATAAAAATCTATTAAACATGAGTTAACGGTTTTTTGCCGACATCATCAAATTTTTGCATTGAATAATTAGCATAAATCAAACAAACAATAAAATAGTTTTTAAAATCCTTAGTCCTAATAGATAGTTTAAATGCCCTACAAAAAAAGATAACCCTTTATGAAGTCGTCAAAAAACAAATGTTACGGCAGTTTTTATACACACAAAACCCTTTCAGAAAAAAAAATAAAATAAAAAAATAAATAAATCTCCATAGACACGTAAACCAGACTAGGCGAAATCATCTTTCGTTTTAAATTTAGACACCCCAACCTTACCCTGACTTGACATCTGTGAATGTAATTTTATACTGATACAAATTATTAACACCTTACACCCCTGTTTATTTAAACAATTGCTCTAGCTGTTACTATAGAAATTTTGATTTCAATAATGAATATGCTATTAAAACACGTAAATTTCAGAAATAAGTTATTCCAAAAAAAAAATTTCGCTTGAAGATGGAACAGAGCTTACTTTAATTCAATTTAATTCAAATAATTATATTGAAGTTTTCGGCTCTTGTTTTGAAATATGAGAACTCTTATGTAGCGTGTTGGAATCATATTTTTTAAATAAATTATATATATATATATATATATATATATATATATATATATATATATATATAATTGTCAAACGATGTTTTGTATTGAAACTATAAATCTTGGATAACCGATGAGGATTGACCTCGCCTGGAAAGATTCTTGCACCAAATCTGTGCATCTGCTAACATAACCCGCTTATTGGCTCTGCATAGGAAACATAAACTATGTGAGATGAGTTATGTCTGAATATATATAAGGTCAAATGTGGCTTGCACAGCACCGCATCGACCTTTCCCATTACCACGACATAATCGCTAAATAGACCGAAGTAAGATATCAGACATAATTAAGATCGCAGCTGTTACATCAGAATCTCCTCCTAATCGTAAGGTATGTTTCCTTCCCGTATTTTCTCAGTTCCTATTTTTCATCCTGCAGGATGTCAACCCAACCCTTCTCTCCACGTAATCCTGAAGTGCTGGCCGGTTTAATTGCCGACCACTCGACCAAGCGGCAGATAATACTATGCTACTTGGTACAAGGAGCATGTTTATTCAGTGATCTAATATGTCGTTGTCGGCACCCCCTCGCATCTGAGCATCGGGAACGTCATCCTCTCTCCTTGTTCCCTTTCTCTCCCCTGGTGGTGAAGATGGCTGTGAATCAAAGAGAGTTTGACGAGGCCGTTCGCGTGAATTTTGGTGGACAACACTGCTTGACGGAAAAGACCACACACTTGGATTAAGAAACGTTTCCCTCGCATCTCAAAGGCGAGATCTGGTAAACATGGTTATATCGGGTTGTCGGATGCTTCGTCTGTCAAGTTCTGCCCTCTTCCACCGACTTAGTCGTTGAGGATGGAGATCGCAAAGATCTTTTTCGTCATTGGGGCTTTTCTGGGGTTGGTTGCGTTCAGTCTGGGCCTTCTTCTACGATTTTACCGCCGTGGGTGGCCGTACAGAAGTTGAAATTCCAGACGACTTCACTCTTGGGAAGAGATATTTTACGATATGACCTGATATATTTGCTTGGTATACTGGATTCACAGGGTTTTCATTTTGATTCTCACTGGCCGTTTAATAATGAAACGTTGTGAGCCTCCTGCTGCACTATCGCTACTTTCATGGCCCGTGTTCTGACCAGCTAAATTCCTTAGTCCCACCAACTCTGATCTTTACAACTGGGACCCACCATGCCATATACACAAGTGTGAATCATCCTCCTTCCCTTCGTATTCCATTGATAAATCCCATCCAGACAGCTTCTTCCCAATAATTGCTGCTTTGTGAAACAGACTCTTGACATGATACTTTCTCAATCACTATAATCTTGACCAGGTCTAGGGTTAACCTTTATCTTTTCTGCACAGCCCCATGAATGTTGCTTATTACCCATTTTACGCCCATACAACACCACCTAGTAACGCTCTATCTTGAGTGTCTCTTTGGCATTGTGTTGGATGAATATTAGTATAAAAACTTTCATAAACTATAAATGGAGTACTAAACAGGCGTACAACATGATACAGGGAAGAATTCGACATCTTATTTTTATTCTATCATCGTGTCATGCTAGAAAACTGCTGATGTGAACTAATAGGTTCGTTTCGTTTCATTTCGTTTCGTTTCGTTTACGGCATATCAACCTCAGTAGGTTATTTAATGCCGACAACATTTTTCTTACTGGTAATATTTTTTTTTCCAAAAATGTATTGCTGGTAATATTTTTTTTTCAATAAAGTATTGCTGGTAATAATGTATTGCTGGTAATAAATTTTTCTTCACAAATTTATTGCCGGTAATAATTTTTACAAAGTATTTCTGCTAATAAAACATATTTTTTACACTTTCATAGTGTTTTGACCCAAGTTTGGGAGTTAACTATTTACCCATAGCTGAAACCCTAACAGGTGCTACCACCCCGGGTCAAGGTGGACCTAGGAGCCCCAGAAATTAAGAGGTGGTTCCATGCTCTTCAAAAACCTCCTGATCAGAGGCCTTGCTGTCGGATATAGTTTATCGTCTCACCCAGGACGCGGATGTAGTTTATCGTCATACTGTTGAAACTTGACTAATGCCTGGAATAATAATGCAACCCAAAATGTACTTAGAACAAAATGTATTGAAACAAGAAAGTGTACACAATATTTACATATAGTCTTTTGTATATTCCTGGTAAGACCGTTCCTGGAGAATGTGTTGACTGAGTCGCAGTCGGGCAGATTCTCGGGTTGAATCTCTTGATTCCTCCCTCTCTTCCCGGTACCAACCATATTTATATGGTCGGTACTCCACTATGCAAATTAGGTGGATCCTACCACAACACATACCCAGGACGAAATATTCGTGTTCATGCCTTTCGGGAATCTATTACGAAGTGAGTGATAAAAAGTATCTTGTCAGCAATTTGAATTCAAACACTATTATAAGTTAATACCTATAAAGCCACCTGGCAATTAGTCCGAGACCCGAAATTATTTGCGTGCGTGTAAATGTCTTGCACATCCATTTCCTGTTGTTGTTTTTTTCTCCCTGCTTAATTTCCTTTGTGGAACCCAACCGGTTACCTTTCGTTTATCTCATACATAATAAAACTGACTGTGACAATTGGTGACCGATTTTTTCAGCCAAATTCATTCATCCTTCGTTCACTGAGCCGACCAGCCACGTCATTGTCCCTTTCAAATACACACCATGCGTCAACCCCACACGATTACTACATTTACTCTAGTCTTCATTTTCCCTTTTACTTGTTTCTTTGCTTAAAATTCCCTTTTCCATGTCTTTTCCCTCATCTTTTCTCTCTATGAATGTCATCAGCTTCAGTAACGTTTGGGGATTACATTTTCTGATAGTATTTTTCGTCCGCTTTGCTTTTCCTCCATTTGCCGTAGATTGGTTTGTTTCTTTCGTTTTAGCTTCTGTTTTTCGGCCGTACTTTTTATCCGTACTTTGTTTCCTTCTTTTTTCCTTTCAGTTTTTTCTACAATGTTTCTTCTTTCTTTGTTTCTTTCTTTCTTTGTTTCTTTCTTTCTTTCTTTCCTTCCTGCCTTCCTTCCTTCTTTCATTCATTCATTCTTTCTTTCCTTTCGTTTTTCTACCGTTCTTTCTTTATTTTCATTTGTTTTTTTCTTTCCTTCAGCATTTCTTTATTCTATAGTTTTTCTTTCTTTCTTTCTTTCTTATTTCTACCATTCCACTTTTCTTACCTTTTCTCTTACTTTTAACTTTTCTTTCTCTCTCTCTCTCTCTCTTTCTTTCTTTCTTTTTTCTTTTTCTTTCTTATTTCTACCATTCCACTTTTCTTACCTTTTCTCTTACTTTTAACTTTTCTTTCTCTCTCTCTCTCTTTCTTTCTTTCTTTTTTCTTTCTTATTTCTACCATTCCACCTTTCTTACCTTTTCTATTACTTTTAACTTTTCTCTCTCTCTCTCTCTCTCTTTCTTTCTTTCTTTCTTTCTTTTTTTCTTATTTCTACCATTCCACCTTTACCTTTTCTATTACTTTTAACTTTTCTCTCTCTCTCTCTTTCTTCTTTCTTTCTTTCTTTCTTTCTTTCTACCATTCCACCTTTCTTACCTTTTCTCTTACTTTTAACTTTTCTCTTTCTTTCTTTCTTTCTTTCTTTCTTTCTTTCTTTCTTTCTTTCTTTCTACCATTCCACCTTTCTTACCTTTTCTCTTACTTTTAACTTTTCTCTCTCTCTTTCTTTCTTTCTTTCTTTTTTCTTTCTTTCTTTCCTATTTCTACCATTCCACATTTCTTACCCTTTCTATTACTTTTACCTTTTCTCTTTTTAGCTTCCGTTTTTCTACTGTATTTTGTTTTCTTCTTTTTTACATTCCGTTTTTTCTATCATCCCCCCTCTCTCTATTTCTTTCTTTCTTTCTTTTCTTTCTTTCTTTCTTTCTTTCTTTCTTTCTTTCTTTCTTTCCATTTCTACCCTCCTATCTTACTTTTTATCATACTTTTACCTTTTCTCTTTTTACCTTTCGTTTTTCTACTGTACTTTGTTTCTTTTACCTTCCGTTTTTTTTTTCTATCATCCCCTCTCTCTCTTTTTCTTGCTTTCTTTCTTTCTTATTTCTACTATCCCATCTTTTCTTTTCCTTTTTCTCTTACTTTTAACTTTTCTCTTTTTAGCTTTCGTTTTTACTGCTGTTCTTATTTTTACTTTTCGTTTGATTTCTGTGTTTTTGATTTCTTTTTACCTTGCACTTTTCTCTCGCTATTAATATCAATTTAACTTCTTTTTTTTCTTCTGCTTTTCATTGTCTCATCTTGACTGTCATATTCCTAGTGTTCTTTCTTCAAAACTTTCATTTTTCTAGACTGAGTTCTTTCTTTCTTTTTGCATCCAGTTTTTCTCTTTCTTTTAATTTCATGTTTTATGATTTTCTTTCATTTTATATTCCCCGTTTTCTACTGTCCATTATTTCTTTACTTTGCACTTTGTATTTCTTTCCTTTTATTACCTCTCTCTCTCTCTCTCTCTCTCTCTCTCTCTCTCTCTCTCTCTTTCTTTTTTTTTATCTTCGGTTTTTTCCCCTTTCTTTATTTTCACCTTCCTTTTCCTCTCTATTCTTACTTTATTTCTTCTTTTTACTTCTCGTTCTTTTTTCTTTTATCGCTATTCTCTTTTTTCTTTTATTCTTTTCTTATTATGTCTTTCTCGTTTTCTTTTCCCTTTCTTTGTCTCATCCATTTGCTACCATTCTTTCTCTTTCTTTCTTTTTTTTTCTTTTCTTATTTCTTTTAGCTTTCGTTTTCTGTCTTTCTTTGTTTCTTTTCATCTTTCGTTTTTCTCCTTTTCTTTCTTTACTCCTTCATTTTTTCCTCTATTCTTATACTTAAAAGAGTGAAAAGAAGAAAAATTAGATATCTTTTTTTTACTTTCTTTTTTTTCGTCCATTTTTTTCTTTTTTTATAAGTATCCAATTCTTTCTTTTCGCATGTTCCCTTTTGCTTTTTACCTTTCTTTTCTTTTTCTTTCTTTATACATTTCGATTTTCTTTCTTTCTTTCTTTCTTTTTGTTTCTTCGTTTCTTTCTTTCTTTCTTTTTTCGTTTCTTTCTTTCTTTCTTTCTTTCTTTCTTTCTTTTCCCCTTTATGTTATATCGCCTCTTTTGTTATTACTCTTCTGACTGTTCATTCCTTATTTGTAGTTCCTACCTCAAGAAATATTTCCTTAATTCCCCTCCCCATCCATCTCTTTCTTCTTGACATTCAACCCCTTTCTCTTGTCCAGTACACGTCACGCACTAATGTCACTTGTTTCTGTCACCTTACTTGCTAGCGTCACCTTTTATCTTTCCTTTTCTCTCTCTCTTCCCTTCTTTGTTGCTCTTCAACCCTAACAACAATTAAACTTGCTGCGTGGGTGTAATTCGGCCGAGTGTATCGATTTATCCCGATTCAGCAATAACCACATCCGCGTAAGTAGGAACTACTTACAGTACACTCTCGCTAGGGGCAGTAGCAACTTGCCCCGGTTGGAAACTAACATCACCACGACTACCACTTCGTTGTGTAGTATCTATAACAACTAGTGATACTTCTATTAAAATTACAGGGGCAGCTGTTTCCGATTCTGCTGACTAGAATTGTACCGTAAGCTCTTTGCCTGATTGTTTATAATCTAACCAGTCAAAGCCGTAATCATTGTTGACAGTCAATTCGAAGTCCTCCCATTATTACTACTTTTGACGAGAATGTGTTTCGTATTTGATCTTGGAAACAAGTCTGGGTATTCTAAACTGGTTTTAGTATATTAAGCCATTTGCAAAGGAATTGAGATTTATTTGGGAAAGACGTTAGAATAACAGAACTGGGAACCAAATCGATTGTAAACTGGCAGATGATTAATTGAGTAAGTATAGAAAACTCGAAAAGGGCCTCTTCTTAATGGATGTGTTTAACCTTTACCGCGAGACACTCATAATAGAACTGGAAATTCAACCTGGCTTTATTACGAGGAGACACAATCTTAAACACATAAGATTCGCATATGGCATCGTGTTTATGGAAGAAAGGACTAACCATCACTTATTCCGCTATTGTTATCTTTATTATTCTTATTGTGTGAAAGCGTAACACCCCAACAAAGTGATTCTGAGGTAGAAATATACGACGCATAGGATACCCATCATAACACCCAGTCAAATAATGCTAGAGGAGACACGGTGGAGTAATGGATAGCGGCTTAGATTGAGGAATCGGAGAGCCGAGTTCGAATTCCAGTCGAATCCCTTACATGCTAATACCCTTGGAAAAGGTATGAATCCTCTTTCTCTCCTCCCAATATAGATAAATAGCAGGACAGGGTTGGATGGCAACTGGTCTACCGCAGAAAGACATGGCAACATACTGCGGGAAAAAAATGTACCGCGTCAGTCATGTATTGAAAGATACATGATCGCCTGAGAATGTATCACGCGTGTCACATAATTGATTGACTGATGCACATGATTACGGTCAGATGTGCACAATGTTGGGAGGTTTTGATAAAAGCAACGCATAACCTTTCAGGTGGGGGGTCTAGCCATGAATACCTTCAGTTCGGGTAAGCCAGGCCTCTCAGACGTTCTCAGATTGGGGTGTTCCCAATGATCTAGATGTAAATTCCAAGGTACTTTAGCTGATCCTTCAAACTTTAAAGCACACAACCTTCTCGATATTTGTCCCCAAATATTCGCACTAATGAAAGAAGATGGTTCATCTCCGAAAAGCTAAGTACGATCATTGAAGTGAAGTAACGTCGATCCTGGTCAGTAACTAGATGGGTGACCACTTGCATATACCAGATGTGCGGATAGTGTAATGTGTTACGGCTCGGAATTCGAATTCGGAGAGACGAGTTCCAATTCCAGTCGGGCTCGTTATATTCACAGATAGCCTTGGGAAAGGTATGAATTCAGCTCTTCTCCTTTCCCCATGGGTTTATTTAGTATGACTAGTATCGAAAAATATTATCTCCAAAAAAGAATTCCTACAATCTAAAAATATTTACTAACTTTAAATAACCTGTAAAAGGTTGATAAACCGTAAAAACAAATCAAAACCGAGGTTCGTTGATTCTCCATACGTAAATATGTCTCGAAATATTTCTATTATTAAGCAAATGGAAACGTAAGATATGCAGATGACACCATATTGATATTAGATTCACTTCATTAAATCTTTTATAAAGAGAAACGTGAAGATAGAATAATAGCAAGCCGATCAGCTCAAGATATGAGCTACGAATTGGAGGTCAAAATCAAGCCAGTATTGATGTATAGAGATCTGGAAAAGGTTATATAAGACGACGGAAAATGTGATACCGGAAACCAATAACTCGTAGTAATAAGGAAATATGCCTTCCAAAAGTTAAGCAAAATATTAAGAAACAGGAAAATTTCGTTAGAAACAAAGAAAATGGTGTTGAAGTGCTTTGCAATATCAGCCATCTTATAGGTCAGTCAATTCTGAACGATCTCTTCACAGATGAAGACATGAGTTGAATCAGTAAAGACGTGGTTCTACAAAAGAATCGATGCCGAAATTAGACCAATAAACACATTTAAATGAAAATGCAGACAAAAAGGACACTTATACTTAAAAGCAGAAAGTGACAGCTGAAAATTCTGGACCATTCTTTTTATTATCTTATCACCCAAAGCAAGGCAACAAAACCACTAACACAAATATTACTTAATGTGAAAGGATATAAGAAAAAGGTTATTAAGGAGGGAAAACAATGGAAGAACAGAATTTGAAAGGAAAGACGATAACTGGCATTGCATTTAAATTTTTGAAGATCAAGAAAGCAAGAATCCGGAAGAGAGTTCCACAAGTGAGAAGTGCGAGAGAAGAAACTGTTAACATATAACTTACGGTTACATCTAGCGATTTCAACTGTAAAAGATATTGCTAATCTAATCACTTAAGAGCCAAACGGGATACACGGGTGGGTGATCATATCTCTCCTTTGATTCATGACTGACTAAGTAGAAGATTTTCACACATAGGTTGCCATTTATTTTTGCGGTAGACTGGTTGCCAACCAAGACCAAAGAAACTAGTCTGTCATACTATTCAACTAATAGCTGAGGAGAGAGGAAATGGATTCGTACCTTTCCCAAGGGTATTTTCGCGTAAGTGAACATAACAAACTTTACTGGAATTCGAACCCGGTTCTCCGAGTTCTCGTTCAGAGTCGGTATTTATTTCACTACGATGCACACCAGTATCTCATGCTAATTTTATAGAGTCTAGGTATCATCATACTTATTATAAAACCCAGGTTTTGTGTGTGTGTGTGTGTGTGTGTGTGTGTGTGTGTGTGCGTGTGCGTGCGCGCACGTTTATATATTGGGTCGGATTTCCTACATTTTTCAACCGATTTCAACAAAACTTTACAGGACTACGTAAAATTACCTTGCGGTGGTTCTGACAGCACCAAAAATTGGAAAAACACAATTGTTTTTGCACAAAATCAATTTGAAAACACGATTAAGAGGCATTAATGAAAGGGGGACAACTCATATCGAGTTATACTTATTATAAAACCCAGGTTGTTTGTGTGGTTGTGTGTGTGTTTGTTTATATATGGGATCGGATTTCCTACATTTGTTCAACCGATTTCAACAAAACTTTACTTTTTTTGGCAGGTAGTGTTTCTTATTGTCTTGCACACTTTTTTCTTTATTTTTACATTCAGATTGCTTTAAAAATTCCATTTACAAGACAATTGTTTATAATAAAATTCAATTCAATCGATAGACTCATAACGATTGAAAACAATGTTTTTTTTTGAGTTTGGGTTTGACCAATTCGTAAAAAAAAAAAAAAAAAAACTAATTAAGACATGCGTGTCCGTCAACCTTAAACAATAATTTTTGTCAATTTCATTTTTCAGTCTTTTTGATGGTCGATACTTGATCTATCTCTTACTGTTATATCCCCGGGCAACGCCGGGCTCTACTGCTAGTAGAGAATAGTTCGTCAGAACATAACAAAGAAAGATTGTAGAATTTGGGTTTGTTTGACTTGTATATTGTAATTGTAACTGGAGAATTTAGAGTTCAGATATCTAATTTAAAGTCCTATGCTTTGTATTGGTGGTGTTAGCTGATGAGAAAATATTCATTTTTTTTTCACTCATTGATTCTCGGTTCAAGTCGGTACTTGTTTGCTTAGTAAATTTTCTTATCACATTCATGAATAGTTTAATGGATGGTTGCTCTCAGCCATTAATACTTGTATCGCAACACTATATGCGAAAGTGTTGTGCTAAGTGAGTTGTTCTGCTGCAAATAATGGAGACTATATGGTGCACAAATGGTAAAAAATCCCAGTGGCCGCTGGCCTTATGACTAATTAAGCATGATGCTTTTCATTTATCGAAGAAAAAAAAAGGATTTTCAAAGTAGTCCCAGTAACCTCTTTGACTGGCCGAAAAATTGATTTAACGCCATTTATAGAAATCCGTCGAGAGGTACATTTCTATAGCATTCGAATAACAGAATTACTTCCGGCATTCAACTTCCGGTTTTCATGGTGTGAAATCGTTTGTCACAAACGCACTTTAAAACGTAACAAAGGAGAATTGTCTTACGTCCATACATCAAAGTTGAAGCCAATATTTATCATACACATTAACTTTTCTTTTTGTATATAACGCACTGAAATGATAATAGCGTCCTACAGGACGTAAATAATAATCCAGAGATCAGCAAAAGTATAATGCTATAAAATATTTCACAGTACAATGTTATGATTTTAACAGGGCCTTGTTAATGTACTACTTTGAAATTTTATAGACCATTTTAAAAAGCAAGAAATATCAGGAGAGTGTGAGTGTATATAATGCATACCAGTGGTCTACACGGTGTGGGACACTCGCTCGGAAATAATATGAATTGAAGTACGGGAAAAATCATATATGCCATCAAATAGGGTTTTAGCATCGATCATATACTGAATAATTCTTATAAAATAAATGTCAACACCCGCCTTTGAGTCCTAATAAATCAAAAATACAAGTACAACATTTATACTATTTAAATTGTTCGGACTGTTGTCCACATCTTTCTCGAGATATTCAGAACGTTTCGGTCATTGTACGGTCTGGCCTTCTTCAAGTGATTAGAATTTCGAAAAGAACCCTTTATTCCGTCCACCGAAGTCGACGGTTCTAGTTCCACGTGCCGTGTCTCTTTCGGATATCTCAGTTTCAGTTATTCATTCATTTATCATTAACTAAAAGATTTGCATTTACCGTCGCCATTAGATATCTGTTCAATTTCCCATCGATCAACATTTTTATCTGCTGTTGCATAAATAAGCACCTCTGTGTCTGCATGGGCCGTGCGGGTAGGCTGACGGTTATCGGCGCGAATAGTTGAATCAGCGAGTCGGGTCCAGATTCCGGCTTAGTGTGATGTGTTCATTTGTACACTCACGCCCTTGGGAAATGTATGAATCTATATCTGTTCCTCCATATCAGGCTATGGGTTAAATATCTGAGTAGACTGTGCTTTCTATCCTTGTTTGATAGCCAGTGGAGGGGAAGGACATCTTTGAATTCCAGATTTTGGAGAAAGAAAGGCGAAACCATTCGACCATCATTCGGAAACAGTCATGGCAATTCACAGATACTAAAAAAGTAATTTGCGGAGTCATGATCATTTACGTCCTGACAGTACTTAGCTTAACACACACACACATATATATATATATATATATATATATATATATATATATATAAGTCAACATCCAGCTTTTATATTTACATATGTTCTATTACTGATATTGAGGACTTTAACCATATATATATTTATAAATATATCTTAAAACTATATTTTATTATTGATATATCCACACACACACACACATTTTCACACACACACACATATATATATATATATATATATATATATATATATATATATATATATATATGTGTGTGTGTATATATATATATTCGTTCTATATCTGTTCATGCATATATGTAAGTATACACGCACGCTCAGTGACACTAGTATTTTTTACGTTGGTAGGTGTGTATATTCAGTAGTATAGACGATCTATGTAAATAACTTTATGTATATACATTTATTGGACAAATATTGAATTATACATAATATTCACAAAATATATTTTATGTTATTACATTTTATAGCGAGTCGCAGCTGGACTTTATATATATATATATATATATATATATATATATATATATATATATATATATGTGTGTGTGTGTGTGTATATATATATATATATATATATATATATATATATATATATATATATATATATATATATTATCTATTCACTTGGGCATACTCTATTATGATTATCGTGACATATTTTATCGCGAACAGTAGTCGACCTAGTTTTGATACGCGAATAAATTTTACCACCAGCAGCTGTCATTCGGGTCTTTTTACTGAACCAAAGCTTCGGGGAAAAAACAAAAAAAAAAATACTGTTGTCAATATTACTGTGTTGATAAAGCTTACAGCAGTTTTGATACGGACACAGCTCGATGGTAAAAAGAGCGTTGTGAATTAAAAAGGTTTCTTCTTTTCTGTTCCATTGACCTAGCTTAGACCTTGACATGTTAGTCACATTTAAAAACATAATTTAAGAGATTTTTTCCAGTCTATAAAATCTGAATTTTCACGTAAATATGCACCTAGAATATGTAAGAAGAACTAAAATTATTATAAGATAAAATGTAGTTTTGTAACCATATTTGCAGGTATTTTCATAACTTCATTTTCTATGTATTAATGAAATATTAATTCTTTGTACATGTACTTTAAATGTATATTATATTTCTATCATATATAAATTATACATAAGCCCGATAGGTGTTTTTTCCTCTGTCTCTCTTGCCTTCATTCTATCATGTAAGTATAAAATTTTCCAAGCCATCCTTCATCATTATGTGCTCAAAAAAATTTCACTTGTCTCTGATGTTACGGATAACTTTTGTTTCTATTGTTAATAAAATTCCGTAGTTGTTCACATGTTCAGTCCATGGTATTCCCACCATCCTTCTGTAGAACCATATTTTTGTTAGTTCAAGTCTCTTCTTCATTTGTGAGGAGATTGTCCAGCATTCACTGCCATATAGGGTGACTGATATTACGTAACACTTCAATAATCTTTTCTTTGTTGCTAACGAAGTTTTCCTGTTTCTTAATACGTTGCTTAGCTTTTTGAACGCATTTTATACAGACAATAATAATGGGCAAATAAAATAAAATATTTAGAACTTTCGCAGCTCATCAAGGCTTTAACTACTTACATAGTACTTGTATATTATTTAATATATAATAAATCTAAATGTGTGTCGCGAATTCAATTTACTTATAAACCCAAGGAACGGATATCATCTGCAAATATTTCAGTCGGGATGATAAGCTTTGAAAATCTGATTTGATTTGTTTGTTATTATTTATGAGTTTTCAGTGATACATGTCTTACAAATTAACCCCCTGGAGAGAGAAGAGATGGGGTGGTCACCCATTTAGTTACTGACCAGTTTAGAAGTTGCTTAACTTCGGGGATCATATGGAAACCGGTGTTACAATGTAACATGGACATAGGGATTCTTGCTATTTTCAAGCAGTCACCCATCAAGATATTAACCAAGCTCGACGTTGCTTAACTTCGGTGATCGTACGAGAACCGGTGTTTCAAGATGATGCGGTCGTAAGCCTGTGTGTATGTATGCATGCATTTCTGTAGAAGGTCTGATCAAAAAGTATCAGGACTGGTGCTATAAAAAGAAAACTACAACACATATCAGTTCGGCATTTAATCTCCTTCAAAGAAGTCCCCTTCCGAATCGACACATTTTAGACATCGTTGTTTTCTTTGATGGGAGCATTCCAGGAACTCTTTTTTTTTTTTTTTTTTTTAGTATAGGGAGCAGTTATATGTTGATATCTTGAAATCTTGTTCCTTTCAAGTAGGATTTGATTTTTGGAAAGGCGGGCAAAATCGCAAGGGTCAAGATCTGGGTAATATGGTTGTTGTAAGACCTAGGGAATGTTGTACTTAGCGAAAAACTGCAGTTCAAGCTGGACAAGTGCATGGTCAAGGTGGAATTGCCACTTACAAAACGCGTGCAATTCTGTCTTTTTTCCGACGAACGACATCCCGGAAACGCCGCAACATGTTATGGTAGTACTCTTTATTGCCTGACCAGGGGGAGTATACTCATGATAAACAATGCCATTGTCATCGAATAAAACTGTCAACAATGTCTTCACATTGCTTCGACTGATTCATGCATTTTTCGATCTCGGAGATGTCGTGGTCTTCCACTGCTAAGATTAAGCTTTGTTTTCGGTGCCATAGCCATAGATCCACGATTCGTCACCTGTTATGGCCGTTTCCAAAAGTTTTCTACGATGTAATGAGACGACCACACTCTACACACTTTCTTTTCATGTACTGCTTTAATCAACGGAAGTGAGCGAGAACGCTGTATCTTAGTGTGTAACATAGACAAAGTTCAAGGTCAAGGCGGCTTCACTCTGTGTACTTTATCTCCGTTACCATAACAACAATCCCATTACTTTTTGGTCAGACCTCGTATGCATTTAGGTAAGACTTCAGTTATACAAATTTTATTAAATTCAACCAACAAGTCTACCAATTTATATTTTTTTATTGTATTTTTCCAATTTTCCAAAAGTTGTTGCACACCTGATCAAAATCCTGGATAAACTGCCCATTTCTTTTCTTCTTCGCTTGCTTGTGACCGTTTTGGTCAATATTTGAAAGAAAAAAAATGTCAATATTATAGACAAAAATATTGATATCTTGGTATTTTCGGGAATCTTACGTTTCAAATGGGAACATATATGTATGGTATAAGCTAACAAAACTTCCATACTAATATCTCGTACTTGATAATGACTGAAACGGTGGAAAGTACTCGAACAAAGAACAAAATTATAAATTCGAACATTTTATCCACAATTCTGAACTGGATATTTAATTTCAATTTGAACCGTAAAAAACATAAAGACAGAACTTATCTGTTAAATGTAATACAACTTGTTTAACTATACATATATTTAATATATTTCTATATTACTATAAACGTTATATTTAGTGGATACATGTATTTGACTAGATATCCTTGTTTTGTCCTTTTAAATTAATTGATTAATATATATATATATATATATATATATATGTCAACATACAGCTTTTATATTTACATATGTTCTATTACTGATATTGAGGACTTTAACCATATATATTTATAAATATATGTTAAAACTATATTTTATCATTGATATATCCACACACACACACATATATATATATGTGTGTGTGTGTGTGTGTGTGTGTGTGTATATATCGTTCTATATCTGTTCATGCATATATGTAAGTATACACGCACGCTCAGTGACACTAGTATTTTTATGTTGGTAGGTGTGTATATTCAGTAGTATAGACGATCTATATAAATAAGTTTATGTATATATACATTTATTGGACAAATATTGAATTATACATAATATTCACAAATATATTTTATGTTATTACATTTTATAGCGAGTCGCAGCTGGACTATATATACATACATACATATATATATATATATATATATATATATATATATATATATATATATATATATATATATATATATATATATATATATATATATATATATATATATATATGTGTGTATATATATATATATATATATATTCACTTGGGCATACTCTATTATGATTATCGTGACATACCGACTGAAATCCAGAAGTCCTATTTACGGAAAAAAGCGACTTCCGAACAGAATCGAACCTGTGATCATTTTTCAGTCTGGGAAACTACTTTTAAGACAACGATACCTTACAAATTTGGCTACAGGAAGCCATTATAAGGCACCTTTTTCTTTAGTACAACGTTTCGATATCTACACCAGTAGATATTAATTTTGAAAAAAGAATTGTGTAACAGCAAATTTGTCTAGTTGTTAGATTAATCTTTTATCTTAGAAATGATAGAAGATATCTTAATGGAGTCCTCCGATGTTTTTATAACACTATTAAATTCTTCTTTGAACAACACGAATGCACTTACCTCGAAGTTGAAATGATGATCCCTCTTGGTGTTGTGACATCCTGAACCAGATTTCCACTTTACTGTTCCCCTTCTTTTTTTTTTAATTATCCAGCGTTCTCTTGATGGTTCTTGAATGGACTTTGAATATGGAAGCCAAAGTATGAATGTTGTACCATTACTGAAGGTCTAAATGATCTTTTTTCCTCTCACCATCGCTCAGTTGGGAAGACATAGTAGGGCTGACACAAAACAGTTTTAAACTGTTCTTTTTCTGTATTTACATTAGTCGAACTATTGTCCTCATCTTTGTCGCCATATTTGTCACAACGTTTCGGCCGTTGTACGCTCCGGCCTTCTTCAGTTGAAATTTCGAACTGAACCCTTTATTTCGACCACTGGGGTAGACTGTTCTAGTTCCACGTGCCATGTTTGATGGCACAGTGGATAAAGGCGTTGGTTAGATCAAGTGACAGGGCCCAAAGAATGTGAGTTCAATACCCGGTTAAGGCAGTGGAGAACTTTCAGAGGGAAAATTAGCAGGAGATAACTGATAACGGACATCCATCAAACATGGCACGTGGAACTAGAACTATTCTTTTATATGATTTGGACAATTTTGTTATTGCACCTAGTATATATAATAGAAAAATTAATGACAAAGTGAAAAAAAAATATTTATGCGCGCGCGCGTGTGTGTGTGTCAACACATTATGATCAGTGGTGTTCCATTCAATCTGGACTGACCATACTCTTAAAAATCCATAAATAGCGAACCCAGGCGGCAGAGACCTTCCCAAAGATCAATGATCAACATTTGCCGTCTGTACAATAAATCTTGAAAATCGTTTGCTGGCTCCAATATTCAATGTCGGTCTTATGAACGTTGAATACATAATCATACTCATTTAATGTAACGATTGATTGATTGATTCGTTTTGCAGGTTATTTAAAGCCAAGCTATCTTTTTAGATTGTAAGAATTTTCTTTTTTGGTCGGGGTGGGGGAGATAAGGTGATTTAGGAATACAAGTTTTACTAATCAATCCTTAACGGGAGAAAAGTGGATTCATGCCTTTTCCAAAGAGCATTTGCACATTAGAGAATATAACGAACTGGTCTGAAATTCGAACTCGGCTCTCGATTACCAATCGGTTCCTCATCTAGGCACTAATATATATATATATATATATATATATATATATATATATATATATATATATATATTGTGCATTTGGACAGCAATCCCCTCTTTATGCAAGTTTTTCATTAAAAACGACTGACAAGGTGCTGCTGTCAAGTCAATCGTTTTCAATGAAACTTAAACACACACACACACACACACATATATATATATATATATATATATATATGCAGCATATCTTTATTCAAACATATTTCATTGAATAATGTAGACGTATTGTGTCTACTTATACTGATCCTTTCCAGTTGTCTAATCTATTTCTTCAAAATTAAATTAATCAAAGAAGGCGCCGTAGTTTCGATCATTTCCAAGATCATCTTCAGAGATTAATAAAAAAGACACTTATTGTAACTGTGATAAAATCTGCATTACGTTGTGAGAGTGATATTTAAAAACAAACATTAACGCGCTTTGTAATTATTTTTAAATTTATATTTATCCGTTGTAGTTATGGAGCCAATAATTTAATATTAGATAGATAGATAGGAACAGATTGAATTTGTCAGATATATATATATATATATATATATATATATATATAGATAGATAGATAGATAGATAGGAACAGATTGAATTTGTCAAATATATATATATATATATATATATATATATATATATATATATACATACATATAGATAGATAGATAGATAGATAGATAGATAGATAGGAACAGATTGAATTTGTCAGATATATATATATATATATATAGATATATAGATAGATAGATAGATACAGATTGAATTTGTCAGATATATATATATATATATATATATATATATATAGATATATAGATAGATAGATAGATAGATAGATAGATATGAACAGATTGAATTTGTCAGATAGATAGATAGATAGATAGATATGAGCAGATTAAAATAGATAAATATGGACAGACTGAAATAGATTTGGACAGCTTGTGATAGATAGATAGATAGATTTGTGTTATCTGTACAAATTCGTATTTCAGACTAAGCAATATCAAAATACTAAAACAAAAATTATATAATTTATATTAACTCAACGCCTTCTTTTCCACTTCTTTTCCAATACTATATTTACCTCAACAGCCTATGTGCCTCGATGGTCTATCAGTATCCATAGACATATGGAAAATATCAAAACCCTTTACCCCTCGAATCTGCCATTAAAACCACCATGACCAACATCGGAAGAATTACTAGAATTACAGCCCAGTATAAATATCCTCGTTAATTGATTTAGAAAACTGCTAAAAGCTGCCAATGATTTCCTGTTCCGTCAGCCTGGCGTCCGCAGCTTTTTATAGTCAACGTTACTAACTAGTATATTAATATATATGCCATACGACCATAACTGTATGTGGCCCAAGTTTAGTGATTTGATATTCGGTTTACCCATCCAATACTCCACAGAATTCTATAGATTTTAACAGAATGTATCTTAACATAATGGTAAGGTTTTAGCTGAAGAATGGGTCCTCGATCACAAAGCTCCAATGAATATTTGGCTTATATTTTCTAATACTAAGGTGCAACTAAAATCTAGGCTCGGTATACATTCAAAGTAGAGTTACTGTTAAATTGGTTATGATAAATTTTTCCAAATTTCATTTCTTTCTTATGGTACTTGTGACGGACTTACCCAATATTGATACAAAATGTCAATATTTTAGACAAAAATATTGTTAGCTACATCCTGGTATTTTGGAGAACGTTACATTTCATATAGAAACAAGTGTATCGTAAAAGCTAAGAAAACCTGTCTACGATGCTAGCATTTACTTCTTGATAATGACAGAAATGGTCTAAATTCCTCGAACAAAGACAAAAGATCGAGAACCACTCAAAGTAGAGACTTATTGTTAAAATGGTAACGATGAATGTATTGTGTGATGAGAATGAAAGACAAAGTGATAAGGATTCGGGGAATAAAGATGAGAGATAACGATTGATCTTTGACTTGAAGCGGTTAATAATTAGCGGTCAGTGAAGTACTCAGGACTTTGTAACAGTTCTTAGGAAAAAGCTGGGTGAAGCTTTCTCTTTATATTTGGAATATGGAGAGATATGATGGTGATTCGACTATTAGGAATTGGTATGGCGTGTTCGAGATGTAAAGGTAACGCTAAGTAAGCGAGCTCATCTAAGCATTTTTGATGGAAATAGCGAGGGTTTTAATGATTTCATTGTTTAACAGCATATCAACACCTTTTAGGTAATTAATTCCGACATTAAATTTTCTTGGGAACTTTGAAGTAATAAAAATATGGTATATGTTATTCTGCTTTCGCAGTTGAATACTTGGTAGATGACACTCAGCTTTTGTGCATATAATTACTAGAGGTGGCGATATGTGTGATTTATGTTATAGTTTTGTTGAAGTTATAGTTTGGAATACAGTTTGATTTCTGTGTTGGTAAAGAAAAGAAAAAGCAAAAGAAAACAGATAATGAGTATCGACTTCCGGTAGGAATAAGTCTGCAACAGATTCGTCTCTCAACCGCAACACTTGTAGCCAAAATCCAGTTCAACGACTGCCCGACGTAACAATCCAACAGGCTACGTAGAGACAAACAAACTTTGCTTCTCGCCAACAAGAACGCATCTGTCTCTCCCAAAAGACGGCTCGCTTTATACAGCCGAGGACCGACCATAATTTACATACGAATCACTAGCCAACGAGATTTCGCGTTAGTCGTCCGAGACCACCTGTCATAAAACATGGCCGCCGCCATTTTGATTCTTTTTTTTCGCCGCCGATCAACCGGACTTTACATTACGCACAGATTCGTGGACGTTTCCAAGGTAGGCCATTCTTTTCTTTCCTCGTTCGTCCAGTATTTCATTTTGCCAGGGACTGTTGCTACATTTGCGTAAGCGTCCACTATTCTGCTTACATACGCATGCCACTCGTTGCCTCTTAGAACGGCGAACTGTAGTCAGTTCAGCAGAACCCACAGGCTGCTGCCTTTCAGTTCCGCTACAATTTCTTTAAAAAACTGTAGGATATTATATGGATTAATGTCATGACAGACTTCTTTCATTTTGGTTGTTTAGTTTGTTGGTTGGTGAGTTGATTTTATTTTGTGGAATCCCTATGGGTTATCCAGTGCCGAAATCCAAATATTTTGAATACGACTTCACGGTTTCAACTAAATATATCTTGAATGCAATTGTATGCCTTCAACTACAAATAAAATGTATTGTTGGTCATTCTATTATAAAGTGTATTGCTACTTATTTTGCTTTAAAATGTATTGTTGGAAATTTTAATATAAATAGGTATTGTTGGTAATGCATTTTTAGACTTTCATAGTGCTTTGTTTTTGTTTTGGGGTACACTATTTGCCCATAGTTGTGACCCTGACAAGTGCTATTACCCTGGGTTAGGGTGGAGCCGGGAACAGCAATTAACTGCAGGTTCTGTGCTCTTCAAAGCCTCCAATCTTTCGACCAGGTGCGTTACTACCGGATGTAGTTTATCGTTATACCCAGGACTAAATACCGAGACTAGCGATAAGATTGCGACGTTGAGTCTGGTAAAAAAGCTGCAGAGTGGAAAATATATCTTTTCTCATAAGATCGCATAAAGGATTTTGACCTTGAAAGCCAGGATTGAACATCTCCGGACCAAAGATGGCAACGATACTCCATTTGAAGTTTAATATTTTTCTTGTAAAGAAAAAGTATACCAGAAGGCGTTAGGTACTTAATGGAGCGATAGAATAAGCCGGCCATTTTTTCAGCATCTTTTGAGGCCTAGAGTAAGGTCTGAGACTCATATTCAAAGCCCATCTAGTACGAATGAAGAGGAAGCTAGGTTTTTTATTATCAAAGTGGTGCTCAAAATTGTTCTAAACTTTTTCCAGTTAGTTTTCGGTTTAGCTCAAACACGTTTGAAACTGGAGATAATGTCACAAGAAAAAAGATTCAAAATCTTTGCTTTGAAAAAGAAATAAATTAACCTTTGTCTTCTCTTTCCTATTCCATTGTTCACACGCGAAGCAATAAAAAGCTGTACTTTGCGTAGCAGTAAAAAGCTGTAATTCATACAATTGTAAAAGGGTGTAGTTTGCTTAACTGTAAAAAAAAGTGTACATTGGGCAGCTGTAAAAATATGCACACTGGGCAGTTCAGGCTACGTTTCCAATGGAAATTCATAAATTGTTCGTAGTTCGAACGACATCTCTGTTTAATTAGTAATAAAGTGATATTAGAATTGGGTGATGGAGAGAGTGTGTTGTCTTGCCTACAGAATTAACATGGCCTCTGAATTGTTTGCACAACCATAGGAAAGGTGTGTCAATATCACTACAGACAGATTAGAGAAAAAGATTGTAATGATGATGGAGACGATACAAATAAAGTAAAAAAATAGGGATTTTATTCATGGGCGAGACTGTTGCATATTTCGTACTCGTGCAAAAACTGATTCTACGCCGATGACTCTCAGTTGATACATCAGATTCAGAAGGTAGTTGATGAAAACAAGAAAAAATTAATCATTAACAACAAGAAGAAAGAATGGTTATCAGCAAAAGATGCAGCAGCCGATGTCAAAATCAAGCGCGCGCCAAAATCTGGATAGTGTAGGCCTGAGGTGAGACCGTATGAAAACTGAAGGCGCATAAGAATAGAGTAAGATAGTTTTTCGTAAACTGAGATCATTAAAAATATTAAAAGATCAAAACATATTCTAAAAAAACAATGAAAACACTGTTAGTCTCCTTTGTAATATCTAATGTACTATATGGCGGTTAAAGATGGACATTTTCGTCAGATTAAAAACAGACTTTCAGCAGTTCTAGCGACGAATAACATGGACAAAGTATGCTAGAAAGGGAGGAGGCTTGAAGGAGATTAAGGAATACAAAGACATTGTCGATAACAGTAAGAAAGAGCTGAATTGTTTTTTGTTTTTTTTTGTTTTGGTGGAGGGTGTAGGAAAATATGGTGGATTTTCAGAAATACAACATGGAGATTGAGTGACGAAATTTGTTAAAAAGAAATTTTAGTTTAGAAATTGCAAAAATGAAGAAAAAAAACAGTTTAATTATCGAATTACTTTTGTCTATCACCAAAATCATCGAATTTTATTTATATTATTTACACTCAGACTATTGTCCTCATCTTTGTTCTCATCAAAACCTTTCGGCGATCATACCATCGGGTCTTTTTCAGGTGCTTAAAGATTTCTCTTCAGCTAATATTAAACTGAACCCTTTTATTTAGTCTACAGGAATAGACTGTTCTTGTTTCGCTGTCAATGTCTAGGGATATCTCGTCTTTTTCTCTTTTTAGTTCTCGTCCTTTATCGCTCGCCCTGATTCCACTCAGTCTAAGTCTGAAGAAACGGTTCATGGTTTGAACAAAATTTGTCACCAAATTAACGAAACAAAAAGTTATTGTCGACAAGCACCCGAAGAAGGACGGAGTGTACATCGACCGAAATATTATGACAGTAATTACAAAGATGAGGGAAATAGTCTGGATGTAAATAGTGTAAATAATAATCCCCTCATCCTACAAATTCAGACAGAAAGCATTGAGTTTGTTAAGACGTAAAGTTATTGGAACTAACTGGATACAAAAGGACCTATATCTATGTTTTATAGATTGTGTAAAAGCGTTTGACAAAAATACGTCACAACGAACTGTTGGAAGTATTAAGTAAGCTTGATTTATTTGCGCCGGATGTTAGAACTATCCAGAATTTATATTGGATAGATTCTGCATACGGACTAAAAATGAATTCATTAAATATACAAAAATACAAGGGTGCAAGACAAGGAGGTGTCTTCTTACCGGACTTATTCAACCTGAACAATGAGTTTATTCTGGAGTCCGTGGTTGAAGTCAATGGCCATTTTACTGAATAAATTTACTCTTCACTATTTCAAGATATCTTTGTGTAATTTTGGTAAATATATCTGCTAAAATGAGATGTCAGTGTTGTGCAATTTAGACGACAATTTAACCTTCGCACCCAGTACATGTAATTTAAATGACAATTTATCCATCGCACCAGGTGTATATAATGTAGACGACAATTTATCCATCGCACATTGTGTATGTAATGTAGGCGACAATTTATCAATTGCACCCTGTGTATGTAATGTAGGCGACAATTTATCAATTGCACCCTGTGTATGTAATGTAGACGACAATTTATCCATTGTACCCTGTGTATGTAAGGTAGAGAACAGTTTATCCATTGTACCGTGTATGTAATGTAGACGACAATTTATCCATCGCACCCTGTGTATGTAATGTAGACGACAATTTATCCATTGCACCCTGTTTACGAATCTCATGGCAGCAATTATTGTCTTATCACTTCTCCCCGGCTTTCGAAGAGCTCTTTTCAAATCCGCAACGTTTACCTAAATTCCAGAAAACAAAGGCATTATTAAACTACAACTAATCGTGCAAAATGTCCTAGTTTTCTTTTGCGCCATTATATCACCACATCTCTTGCATTTATTAAAGAATCCATCGTTCCAGCCTTCGTTTCTCTGTTCGTCACCAGGCAATGTTATTACTCTTGCGTGTAAACAATCGCCTGAAGCTTAAAATAACGACATGGTAGCAATGGAATTTATAATGTTTCTTTTTCTGATAAACATTGGAATAGCAGAACCGCTTCAGTATACTGTGACCTGTTTGAGACTAAAGCTTGTAGAAAATGCTTTTAGAGTATTCGCACCCTCCCCCACTCTCTCTTCGTCATTTTTTTCTCTCTTCTCTCTCTCTCTCTCTCTCTCTCTCTCTCTGTTGGGGTTATCCGCTATCAATTTCTTTCCGAAAAATGTAACACGTAATATTTACCGATGACGTGGAACCTGTTTAGTGAGTGGAGGGTTGTTCACGTGTCTCCCCAATTTTTAATGCCATGTCCCTTCGGGACGTAAGGCGCGCATGAATCTACAGGGTTTCCCTTTTTTGATTATTTGTGAACTGCCATGTACTCTTAGGAAAGATAGCAGATTGGTTTTCTGTTGAATTCTCCATGATTTGGAAACCAGAGTTTTCCTTCTCTAAGACTAAGTCTAGAAAGCACTGTACTTTCTTTAAAATCAATTCAACTCAAGTAAGGCGATAACGCCACTAAGCCGCAAGGTGTGGGGGGGGGACTATTGGAAGTGGAAGAGAAGGAAAAAAACTTTAGAAGGAACCGAAAACCCAATAATAGTATAAATTTGAGAGTTTAAGCACAAATGTTAGAAATATAGAATTGAAGTAAAATCTAAAAGGAACCGGAAACCCAATCCTAAACCGGAAACGATTTTTTCCGAACAGAAAATGAATGTCTTTATTTTCTTTATTAATCATATATTTTTTTAATCCAGTGCTCTTTAAATTCTTTAATATCTTCTTCATTTGAATGTCATCGATTCTTAGCTAATGATCGGGACATTTGGCACAATCTTTAAAAGGAAAGAAAAAAAAAAAAAAATACACGAGAAAATGATATACATGAAAGAGGAAAAGAATAAAAGGGAATCTAATAAATAAATTTCGCGTGCCAGAAATAAGTCATCGGTGTGCCATGTTTTGCACGCGTGCCAGGGGTTGCCGATCCCTCCCTAGACAGTAATACGTTAATCACATAAATGAAAAGACCTGTTATTGGAACAAACAGATGCATCGTCTTTCTCAACAAGGAGATATGCATGAGACGACCATATTTGAAACTTATCTTCCTATGCAATATCTCGCGTTCAGTACCTTTTGCTTAATGCATGCCGAGCCTTTCTCTGTTTGGTTAACAGCGACGAAAATGGGAATTGATCAACTGTGTAGGGCAGAAATCTTTGAAAATCTATGAGCGATGTTGACACTTGTATATGTTGATCATGTTCACCATAGTTTATGAATATAGAATACCGCGCAGTACGTAATCTTTTCAATAAAACAACGTTACAGATTAACACTCACAAGTCAGAATCTGACTATATCGCCAATACCACAAGCAGCTGTTCCATAATTCTTCAGTCTTCGATATCAAAGGCTGGCAGTGAGTATTCGGGAAAAACATGCCCGCCTTTATACATGTCGCATTGAATATCTTGAGCCTTCTGATTGGTTAACCCTTCTATTGGTGAACTATAAAATGAGTCAGCTCATTTTGGTTGGCTTACTAGTACACCAGAGTAAACCCAAAAAGTCCAATAGTATAAAGTCACATAATGTAGATTCTGCCACTGTCACCTGTGATAATTTCTGAACATTAAAATTCTTTTCCAGTAAAGTTGAGGTGTGAGAGTTTCAAAACCCACTGTCGAGAAGGAAAGGAAAATAAAATGTATCCATAAGTAAAAACTTCCTGGATCAAATGACAAATGACCGGAAGGTAAGTAATTCCGGTTATAATATATAATCGGGCCACATTCTTGATAAGTAGTGTTATGATTAGTGTAGGAAGAGTTTTATAGTCAGAGAGAGACTGAGTTTTCGTTAGCCGAAGGGAAGTTCTAGCCGGTTAATATATCGTGAGAGAAGATAGTAGCAAGAGTGAAGATGATCCAGATGTTTTTTTGTTTTTTTTACCTACTCGCAGACATTCGCAATTCAACTGACCCATGAATATAGAATATTGTATAATGGAACCAACAGGTTATTGTATTTCTTACCAGAACGAGCGAACTCGAAACTTTTTTACCCATGCAATATGTCACCCCCCCCCCCCAGTTTCTTTGTTGAACGTATTTTTTATTTTTTTTATTTTTTATTTTTTTACATCGAGACAAACGCGAACCAAACCACAGCGTGGTTAGTGAAAAACTGACCTAGGAAGAAAGCGTTTTTTTTTTTTTTTACAATTATATTGTCATATTAAACCCACTTTTGCTTAATTCTATATTCCGAAATAACGTACCATACTGGCTACAGACGCATAATCGCACACTATTTAATCGAATTATTCAACTATATTATATATAATAACATCATATCTGGTATCACAGAAAATCGTTATTATTTGGTAATATCATTGGCACACACCAACTAATATGTCTTCCGAGCCATCTCACTTGTCTACCTACCTTGGTTAGAGAGCGTTCCCCATTGATTGCATTTGACGCTCCGTAAATATATTTGTCATTTTATTAAGATCTCTTTTCCTTTTTATTCTCTTTTTTGGCGACGGCCATCGTAGTGCAACTATTATCGATTTTTACTTGTGCTGGCCCAACGCATCGATTTGGAGGCTCTTACTAAAGATCGAAATGAGTGTGTCTTGCAATGCTTACTTGATTACAATTGTTTGATGGCAAAAACCGTAAAACCCGTCTTAAAAAGACCTAGATCTACGTTGGACTGCGTTAATCTTAAATGTCTTTGCATCATTTATGTATTTGAATTTGTGAAAATGCTGACTGAGATAATTAGATAGATAGATAGATAGATATCAATAAGCTGTGATAGATAAAAACAAACTAAGATAGATAAAGCGATATAGATAGATAGATAGATAGATAGATAGATAGATAGATAGATAGATAGATATCAATAAGCTGTGATAGATATGAACAAACTAAGATAGATATAGAGATATAGATAGATAGATAGATAGATATCAATAAGCTGTGATAGATATGAACAAACTAAGATAGAGATAGATAGATAGATAGATATCAATAACCTGTGACAGATATGAACAAACTGATATAGATAGATAGATAGATAGATATCAATAACCTGTGACAGATATGAACAAACTGAGATAGATAGATAGATATCAATAACCTGTGACAGATATGAACAAACTGAGATAGATAGATAGATAGATAGATAGATATCAATAACCTGTGACAGATATGAACAAACTGAGATAGATAGATAGATAGATAGATATCAATAACCTGTGACAGATATGAACAAACTGAGATAGATAGATAGATAGATAGATAGATAGATAGATAGATAGATAGATAGATATCATATAACCTGTGACAGATATGAACAAACTGAGATAGATAGATAGAGATATCAATAACCTGTGACAGATATGAACAAACTGAGATAGATAGATAGAGATAGATAGATAGATAGATAGATATCAATAACCTGTGACAGATATGAACAAACTGAGATAGATAGATAGATAGATAGATAGATAGATAGATATCAATAAGATGATGATAGAAGATATGAACAAACTGACAGATAGATAGATAGATAGATAGATAGATATCAATAACCTGTGACAGATATGAACAAACTGAGATAGATGAAGATAGATAGATAGATATCAATAACCTGTGACAGATATGAACAAACTGAGATAGATAGATAGATAGATAGATATCAATAACCTGTGACAGATATGAACAAACTGAGATAGATAGATAGATAGATAGATAGATAGATAGATAGATAGATAGATATCAATAACCTGTGACAGATATGAACAAACTGAGATAGATAGATAGATAGATAGATAGATATCAATAACCTGTGACAGATATGAACAAACTG